TGGCTTTGGATCGGCCCAACTCCAGCCATTGTAGCCACTTGGGGAATGAACCAGTGAATGAAAAGACTTCTCTGTCTCTCTCTGCCTCTGCCTCTCTGTAATTATATCTTCAAATAAATTTTTAAAATTATATTTTAAATCCATTTTAATCCCACCCTCCTTCCCTGTCTGAAAAGGTTTTTTTAATAGAAATTTTTTGATTCACAGCTCCACTTTATGAAGAAATCAATATGTTCTCAACTTTTCTCAGAGTAAATGCAGAGTTCTCTTTCCTCCTTATGGATTTAGGAAACAGGAGAATCAAGGGCAGGCAATTTGCAATGCATTTAAGACGTCACTTGGGATACTCACATCCCGTACCAGAGGGCGCGGGTTCGACTCCTAGCTCTGATCCTGACTCCTCCTTGCTGCCAATGCATACCCTAGGAGACAGCAGTGATGGCTCGAGTATTTGGGTTCTTGCCGCCCACAAAGGAGACCCAGCTGAAGTTCCACACTCCTGGCTTTGGCCTGGCCCAGCCCGGGCTGTTGTGGACATCTGAGGAGTAAACCAGTGGTTGGAAGCTCACTCTCCCTCTTTCTCCCTTTCAAATAAATTTTTTAAAAATTAAAAAATAGGGAAACATTAATTTGATAGCAGCACCCGTAGATTTAAGGGTCTTGGGTTCAACTGTGTTAGGAGGTGCTGTTTGGGCAATGAAAAAGATTCGATAAGCAAGGTATGGAATACACAAGATAACACGGGACCCCAAGTACTTGAGCTGCCACCTGCTGCCTCCTAGCATGGGCATTAGCAGGGAGCTGGATCAGAAGCAGAGCTGGGCCAAGAACACAGGCACTCTGAATTGGGATACCAGCATCCCAGGCAGAGACCTAACCACTGGGCCAAATGCCCACCCTGCTCTAGAATATTTTAAAGATCATGTCTACAATACCCTACTTGACTGCATTGTGTTAAAATTTATTTCATCAAAAACATGCTTATATACTTGGAACTTTTCAAACATTTGCAAGGGAACTTGTGATTTTTATTCCAAACTGGTGAGGGTCTGCTTTGCCGATTGTCCTAGCCTGGAGGGAGCATTTGAAGGAGGGCATTATAATTTGGGTACTAACCTCAGGTCATTTTTCACAGGATCATTGGGATGCGATTCATCACGAGTCTTGGCTTGCAGGAATTCGACATTGCTAGGAACGTTCTAGAACTGATCTATGCACAAACTCTGGTGTGGTAAGTTGAAGGACTCTGCAGGACACCTTTGCTGGCCGCCTCACTGTGGACTGGGAGATCTGTTCTTAAAGCTGTGAGCGTGGCGCCAAATCTGGCCAATCCGAGAGCCTTGAGTCCAGCATCTAGATTATTCCTTTCCTTTGGGGGGCTTGAGCTCTGCTGATGAGAGTCAGCAGCCTGTAGCTGTGCTCCGCTCGTTGTACAAGGTGCTTCCTCCAAAGTCTCCCCAAATTCACGTGTTAAAACCCAGTGCCCGGTGCGTGTCAGGAGGTGGGGCCGCTGTCATGAGGGCAGAGCTCTCCTAAGTGCAGTTAGCACCCTTACGGAAGAGACCCCAGGGAGCCGCCCCGTCCCTTCCTCCACGTGAGGACACAGCAAGCCCTCGACATACACTGAGCCTGTCAGCCCCTCCCAGTCTCCAGGACTCTGAGAAATAAATTTCTGTCGCTGAGATGCCCCCCAGCTTATGGCATTTTGGTACAGCAGCCTCAGTGGACCAAGACGACCCCCAGTATGTACAGATCAGCAGACTTCACGTAGCATTTCCATTTCTGGCTTCTTTCCAGAATGTTCTGGCCCGTCTCCCATCATGGTAACATTTGGCTGGGGTGAGTGTGTCCACTTTGCCAGTGCCAGCCTTGGGCTGTTGCCTCCGCAGCCTTGATTTCCCATTTCCCATGACCCTTATGCGGTTCATTTATTACATTAGAAAATGGGCTGTGGCACCTGTGTCTCAACAGAGGTGGGGAAGCAAAGGCAGAGGGGGCTGTGTCTTTCTCACACCTGGCCTGCTTACTGATTGGACGGTCTGGTGGGGTCTCTGCAGCCTTTGGGATTTGGGACTTGCCACACCTGTTCGAGCAGTTCTCTGTGTGTGTATGTTCATGTGTATGTGTGCATATGCGTGTGCATTTGTGTGTGTGGTGTTGACATTAATTGGTGAGTTCCATCAATATTTTGCAAGCTTACCTAGAGACCTCAAGCTAACAGTCAGTGGGTATTTTTCCTTATTTATTTGAGTGTGATGGAGTTAATGGCAGAGTTCTGTTCCATGGATCATAGTTCCTGGTTCTGTCTTGCTGATTTGAAAGTAGTGGATTTGGAGTTGGATTAATTTGGATTCTGGGCCTGGCTCTGCCGCACGCTGCAGTCATGAGCATCTCTGGCTTCAATCGCCTCATCTGTACAATGCACATGACAACAGCTATGCTGAGGATTAAATGTGACGGTGGATGAAAAGGGCTGTGTCAACTCCCATATGCCGTGGAGCTGGAGAGACTTTCATTTTCCAACACGCTCCAGTCGCCCTGGGAGAGGTGCTGACTGCAGATGAGTCACCAAGGCCTGGGTTATGTTAGCGATGGCATGGCCTTTTCTCTGGTCGTGGAGGTGATGTATTTGCTCCCTGCCAGGTCGCCTTCGAGCAGCTTGGCAGCCGGCAGTCTCTCACTCACGTTATTTCAGCCAGCGGGACAGCTTTGGGCAAGTCGCTCCTGCTCTCTCTAACCCTCAGCTTTCCAACCTCTCGGTGAGAGAGACGATACTTTCTGCTCCCAGGATCTTGGAGAGGGTTGAGTGAGTGTCTGCCTCAGATGTGTTGCATAAGCATGGATGTTATGACTATGGCTGTCCTCATGAGCATCCTTTAAAATATGTTTTTATTTTAAAAACGTGTAAGACATACAATCACATGGCTGTATAACCAATCTTCAGGACCTTTCCTTCTTGCAAAACTGAAACTCCAAATTGTAAAACAACTCCACGTTTCCTCCTTCCCTGGCAACAACCCCTCTGCTCCCTGCTTCTCTGAGCCCGACCCCTCCAGATTCCACCCACAGGTGGAGCCAGACGGTATTGAACTTGGTATGCCTGGCTGATTTCCCAGAAGGTTCGCCCATGTTGCAACCTTTCCTTTGTACACCTGGACGGTAGCATCATGTGCCCGTGAACACCTGGGTTGCTTCTGCCTTTGACTCTTATGAACAGCATTGCCATGAACTTGGGCGTGCAGTTACTCTGCAATCTTGCTTAGTTCTTTTTTTTTTAATTTATTTATTTATTAATTTTATTTATTTGAAAGACAGAGTTACAGAGAGAGAGAGGCAGAGGGAGAGATAGAGATCTTCCATCCATTGGTTCACTCCCAAAGTGACCATAGCAACCAGGGCTAGGCCAGGCTGAAGCCAGGAGCCAGGAGCTTCATCCAAGTCTCCCCTAGGCACAGAAGCTGGGCCATCTTCTGTTGCCTTCACATTGCTTAGTTCTTGTGGATATCCACCCAGAGTGGAATTTCTGGATCTCCCATGTTTTGTTTTTTAGAAAACCGATGTAGGTAATTGATCTGACACTGGGTAATAGCTTGACTTACAGATAGATGGCCACCTGCTCCTTGTGCCTTTACCTGCTCTTCCCTCCGGGCAGGTGGCTGTGTTCTGAGTCCTCTTCTTCTAAAGACCCCAGTCCTGTCAGCTCAGGGCCCACCACAGTGACCATGTTTTAACCCAATTACCAGTATAGAGGCCCTCTCTCTGGGTTCAGTCATGTTCAGAGGTATGCGTGAGTCATGGAGGACACAAATCAACCTGCAACATCCCCTCTCCCTTCCCTCTCCAGCCCTGCCCCCGCTCCCCATCTCTCCCACGGTCTCTGACACTCACCGTCTCTCCTTCGCAGGATTGGAATCTTCTTCTGCCCCTTGCTGCCCTTTATCCAAATGATCACCCTTTTCATCATGTTTTATGTCAAAAATGTGAGTCAGTCTGAAGCCTCGAGCTGTGGGCTTCACCCTGTCCCCTGTGTGACCTGACGGTGGCTGGGGCTGGGAAGGGGCCGGGAGGCAGGAGCGTGGCCGGGGTCCCTCTGGCTGCTTGTCTGGCTGCAGACAGCAGGAGACCGCGTCTCTCCCTGCAGATCAGCCTGATGATGAATTTCCAGCCTCCGAGCAAAGCCTGGCGGGCCTCTCAAATGATGACTTTCTTCATCTTCTTGCTCTTTTTCCCGTCTTTCACTGGAGTCCTGTGCACGCTGGCCATCACCATCTGGAGGTAGGAGACGGCGGCCTTGGGCGAGGTTTTAGACACTGGCTACGTGACCGTTCGTTTCAAATGTGGCTTTAGGGATGGGCGATTGGCCTGGCAGTTACGATGCTAGTTAGGCCTGCGTTTGAGTCCTGGCCCAACTCCTGATGCCAGCTTCCTGCTAATGCACGCCACCAGAAGGAGCAAGTGATGGCTCAAGGCTCGGCCCTCTGCCACCCACACGGGGGACCCAGCATGAGTTCCAAGCTCCTCAGCGTGGTTGGCTCCGGCTGTTGCAGGCATCTGGGGAGTAAGTAGATAGATGGGAACTCTGGCTCTTTCTCGCTCTGGCTTTCAAATACATTAAGTAAAACATTTAAATGTGGGCTTATAATATTGTTCAGGGGTGATGAGGCCAACAGACAGCAGACGATTGCCACTGAGAAATGTAGTTGTTACTCACAGTTCCCAAGAAGAGGGGGCACTGCTTGGCATGCAGGGCCACACGGAGGAGCCCCAGGGTTGGTCAAGGTCAAGTGGGAGAGGAAGAGAAGGGGAAACCTGGGCAGGAGGTGAGAAACAGGGAAGGTGGAGGAATCAGGTTTTGGACTGGCTACTCTGAATAATTTTAGCCGGCTCTGGAAGGGAGGGGCTGCCCCGACTGGTGTGGTTCCTGGCCTCGGGTATACAAGGGCAGGTGCATGGTGGCCCGGAGTATAAGAGAAGGCAGCAAAGGAGGCAGCTGGAGATGTGGGCCCTGGACTGGCTGGTTTGCCCACGAGAGCCACGTGTTTCAGTCTAACCCAGGGAAGGACAGTCTCTCCAGAGTCGGTCAGGCCTCGGCTGTCAAAGCACAGACCATAAAGACGTGCTCCTTGAAGCACGCAGCCCTGCGTCCCTTGGTAGCCAGCAAATAGTCCAGCCGTGGAAGGGAACACGAATCCCATTCTGGTCACTGCCACCAGGCACCCAGGGTGAGGAGCAGCTTCCTCACGTCTGCCGAGAATGGAAGCGTCTCAGAATGGGCAGAGGCCCGTTCCTCCCCGTGGAGAACAGAACTTCACCCGAGCTAGCTGAGGCTGTGTCTGACCTGGCTTCCTCCCACCCTCCGCCTCACCTCCCTGTGGCTCCACTGTGCCCTGGCCCTAAGGCACTTGCTGCATTCCTGGGACCCAGCGTCCCCTCCGCACATGGGCAGGATCCTCTCTTGGAAGTGCCACAGCGCCAGCCCCTCTCTTTGTGTTCCTTAATTCAAGTTCCCAGGGAAGAGAATCTGATTGCCCTCACTCATTTCTTCAAGCCAAAATGCCACAGAGGTCATTGTTTGGCCTTTGGGTTGGCCACTGTTGGATCCGGTGATACGTCTGGTGCAAGGTCTCATTTTCAGAGTGATATGAGGGAAATAGGCAGGAAGATTAGATAGGAACAGGGGAGCGGAAAGATTTTTCCACAGTTTCTGCCTCTAGCCTTGTGCTGTAACTCCACCCCCTTACGTGTCAATCCAGTATGCCCACTTTCCCATGATGCACCTGCTTCTCCTACAGCAGGAAGGAGAAGCTGCCATGATAGCCAGTGGAAGTTAGGCTCCTTGTGGAGGCACCATGAAACTCCCAGAAAGCTTCATGCACACCAAACCCCACCCTCTACCCCCTAAAGGGGACAGTTGCACATGGGGGTGGCCCCTTTTCTCTTGGTTTCCTGCCCCTGTTGCTGGTCCTTCTTTGGCCTCCTCCCCCATTCTCTTCTCAAAGGCAGCTCTCGGGCCCACTCATGATGGGTATCTCTCCATGTGGGGTTGCCCACACTCTCACGTGAGTGAATACACATAGTGTATTCACTCTCTCGCTTCTAAGTGAATCCTGCTCTCACTCACGCACCTTACTTACATCTGTGCTTTGGAGTCTTAGCTGTATGAAGACAAGGACTTGGAATCTAATAGTTGGGATTCATATGCCAGCCATGGCTGGGGCAGGAATCCCCTTTGGAAAGACAGTGGGGGTGGAGCAGGCAAGAATCGCTGTTTCCAGGTCCAGAGCCCAGAGGGACAGCCTGATTCTAGAATGACTCTGAGTGCTGCACTCGGGATGATTCTGCACCCCTCGTTCTCCCAGGTTGAAACCCTCCGCCGACTGTGGCCCCTTCCGAGGCCTGCCTTTCTTCATTCACTCCATCTACAGCTGGATCGACACCCTAAGCAGACGGCCTGGCTACCTGTGGGTTGTTTGGATCTATCAGAACCTCATTGGAAGTGTGCACTTCTTCTTCATCCTCACTCTGATTGTGTTGTAAGTGGGGGCGTCTCAGGGAACGAGTAGGGAAAAGCCACAGCTGTTGGGGGGAGCACATTTCACTGACACAAGGTGTGGACAGCCCTGGGGATGTCAGGGTGGCAATGACCGTCATGGCGCAGCTCACTGTCTGATAACCCTAATGTGTACCCCTGGACAGGCAGGATTTTTTTAAAAGTTAGTTAGTATTTTATTTCCTTCCCTCCCTCTCTCCCTCCCTCCCTCCCTCCCTCCCTCCCTCCCTCCCTCCCTCCCTCCCTTCCCCCATGTTACACCTCTTGTAAAAGGACGTGAGAAGAAAATGAAAACATGGATATGAGAGTGCTTAGGAGAATCTTGCATGCGGTTCTTCCTGAGACTGTGATTTGTTAAAATGGTCGAGGCATCACTGCTGCTTCGGATACTGTGCTTTCGCTTTTGAATTTTAAAAAGATGGACGTGCTGAGAAAGCATCATTGCTGACGCCGCGCCCGTTTCTCTGCGTGGAGCCGTGGGTTGGGTGCTTTACGGCGGTCCCCTTCTAGAAGCGAGGTCTTGACGGCATCTGAGATTGCAGCTCCTCGTATGGAGACACAGCTCAAACGCGCAGACTGTTGGAACAAGCCGACATAGACCGTAGAGCAAGCCCTCAGTTTTACAGAGATGGAAACGTGCAGAGACAGGTTCCGGGCCATGCAGCCTGTCGGGGCAGAGGCTAGACCCTAGGTCTCCCAGCTGGCAGGTGCCTGCCCTCCCACACCCCAGGCTGCCATTGGCCCCCTTAGAGTGATGACTTCTGGTGCTTTGCTCCTCCAAACTCCCAATCCACTGAGTCTGTGCTGTTTTCACTCACACTTCTGACACGTGTGTGCGTGTATGTGTGTGTGTGTGTGTGTGTGTGTGTGTGTGGTTTTCCCCTGCACCAACCAATGCTCCGACTTCCAGGGCACCAGCTGAGTGTCCTACAGCTCCGTTCCACCCTGCGCTCTCCACCTGGAGTTAGCATCAGATCCGATGAGTTAAGGAACTGCTTCCATGTCAGACGCCGACTCCAGCGTCCCAGATCGTCACCTTGTACTTCTGACCAGCTGGCCATAACTTCCGGGGTTCCCGCTACCCCCTCCTCGGGTTTGATTAATTTGCTAAAGTGAATCACAGCACTCAGGAAGGCACTTTGTTGTTGCCAGTTTATTACAAAGATGCGATTCAGGGGCCCCCAGTGAGAGAGATGCCTGGGCCGAGGACTGGGGATGAGTGTGAGGTGGACCCCCCACGTCCTCCCTTGGGTGGGCATCATTGAAGAAGTCTTTGCTGCTGCTGATTAGCTCAGTTTCAAGCCCCTCTCTCCTCCCTGTGGTCAGGGGAGGGTGGGGCGGGGGCTGAACTGTCCAGTCCTCTGATCCAGCCTTGGTCCTCCTTGTGAGCAGCCCCTACCTCGGTGCTATCTGAGAGTCCTCCGCCACCAGTCATCTCACTGGCACACAAAAGACACTCGCTACTCTGGAGCTTGCAAAGGTTTTAGGAGCTCCGTGCCAAGAACCAGGGACAAAGACCAAGTATGTGTTCATCACATGGGGAGCTTATCACAAGTGCAGGATCTCGGGCTGCAGCCCAGACATGAGCAGCTGCACTAGAGCAGCATCCCAGATACCCTGCAGATCCTGGAGCCCCGACTGCACGTTCAAATCATGCGCATTTAAATGATGCTGATGCTTTAAAACATCTGGCCCCGTGTCCACAGGTGCTCAGCTAATTGGTTGGAGGAGGAGTCAGGACACAGAGCCTATTTCTACCTTCCAGATGATTCCATGGGCAGCCAAGTGGAACATGCATTTCCCTAGAGATTTTAACCAGTAGCTCACCCTGACATGACTTTTTGGGGACATATCTGGGACAAAAAAAATATTTGCAAGCAAATAGTCTACTTCCTTTGCACCCCAATATTCTACTTCCTTTGCACCCCACTGAAATTCAAAGCCTGCAAAGCATTGGCAAGAGTGCCTGTCATTCATTTGTCTTCTCTTCCAGAATCATCACCTATCTTTACTGGCAAATCACAGAAGGAAGAAAGATAATGATCAGGCTTCTCCATGAACAGATTATCAATGTAAGTCCTGTTGGATTCCTGTTATAATCTTCCCACTTTATAATGGACATTGTCAAAGCTTTGTTTATTTATTCTAATTTTAAAGGCAGAATTACAGAGAGAGTGCAAGAGGGACGGGGGAGGGAGTGACAGAGGGAGGGAGGGAGAGGGAGAGAGATCTCGCATCTGATGATGGTTCATTCCCCAGATGACTGCAGTGGCTGAGACTGGGCAAGGCTGAATCCACAAGTGGCAGGGGCCAAATGACTTAGGCCATCTTCCACTGCTTTCCCAGGCGCACTAGCTCTGTGGAGCTGGATCAGAAGCAGGGCAGCCGGAACTCAAACTGGCTCTCCTATATGGGATGCCGGCATTGCAGGTGGTAGCTTAACCAGCTGCCCCACAACGCCAGCCCCTGTAATGAACATTTTCAAAATACTACAGTGGAGGGAGTAATAAGAGGAGCCCCCTTTTCCATAGCACCTGGCAATCCTTAGCAACCACCAGCGGTCATATACTTTTTTTTTTTTTAAAGATTTATTTATTTATGTGAAAGTCAGAGTTACACAGAGAAAGGAGAAGCAGAGAGAGAGAGAGAGAGAGAGAGAGAGAGAGAGAGGTCTTCCATCCGATGGTTCACTCCCCAATTGGCCGCAACGGCCGGAGCTGTGTCAATCCAAAGCCAGGAGCCAGGAGCTTCCTCTGGGTCTCCCACATGGTGCAGGGGCCCAAGGACTTGGGCCATCTTCTACTGCTATCCCAGGCCATAGCAGAGAGCTGGATTGGAAGAAGAGCATCCGGGACCAGAACCGGTGCCCATATGGGATGCTGGCACTTCAGGCCAGGGCGTTAACCTGCTGCGCCACAGCGCCGGCTCCCGGTCATATATATTTATTTCATCTACACTATCTTCCCTGCAGATCTCTTTGATTATTTGAAATCAAATCTTGGGCTTTATATTATTTTTTAATCTGCTAAAACTTTCATGTGCAGCTTTATGAGCTAAAGACTTTTTAAAATCGTGACCACCATGTCAGTATCAGGCCTGAAAGAAAACGTATCAATAATTCACTACCTATTTGCAGGAGTCAGTCAGGGTTCGCATTTCCCGGATTGTCCCAGTCGGCTTGTTCAAAGCAGGATCAGAAGAAAGGGCCACACACTGCATTTGGTGCTATGCTGATTGTATGTTGATCCTTTTCTTCCCTTTTTATTGTTGAAGAATTCAGATCTTCCCACATTGACACATCCCTGAGTTATGACCCAGCTGGTTTAGTGTGTTTTTTCTTTTTCTTTTTTTCCCCTTTGTATTTCCTGTGAACTGGTGGTGAGACCTGGAAACTTTGACTAGATCCAGGTTCAACTCTTTTAGGCAGAATGCGTCCTAGACAAATCTATCGCCTTCTCTGCAGGTGAGGCTGTCTCTCTTCCTGTGATGTTGAGAGTGCTCAGTGGGTCCAGGTTTTGTAAGCCCCCATCTCCCTTTTGCCTAATGAATTCAGCAGCCTTCCCAGAGCATTGCCTGGAAGACGCATGGATTTCATTGGGGATTACAACCTAGCAACTTCTGATTCTATAATTCCTCCTGCGTTTATTAACTAGATTTCTATTTAAAAAAGAATTTTTGCTCTTTAAATATTTACCTTGAAGTGGGATTCATAAAGGGAAGGCAAGGTCAGCATGTGATTCTTTGCTTGGATTCACGTTTTCAGAATGGTGAGGCAGGGCCCTGGTGTACAGGTTTTGTGGAGCTGCTGGACCACAGACTTCGCTGCTTCAAGCAGCAGAAATGTTGAACTCATGGTCCTGGAAGCCAGAAGACAAGATCAAGGTGTTGGGTTGTTGGGGCTGGTTCCCTCCAAGGTTCTGAAGGAGAAGCCAGTCTGTCCATGGTGTCGGCTCGCTGTCACTGCTGGGTGCACCTGGTGCACCTGCCTGGCCTTGAACTCCACTCCCTGCGTCCGTCTTCACAGCCTTTTCCTCCGTGTCCATTTCTTCTCCTTTTCCTTTCTAAGGACTTGCTATTGGACAGAGGGTCTACACGTGGAGGATGATCCTCAATTTAATTACACCTGTAAAGACCCTATTCCAGAATGAGACCCTATTCAAGGTCCTGGGGATCAGACTTGGGCACTATTCAACTCGTCACACCTAGCAATCTCTGAGAATGGCCGGCGAGGATCTTCACACTGTTGTTATAAATCCATGCTTTAAATATATTTTGGTATCCTTCAATTACAGTCTCCATTTATTTAAATATTTATTTATTTATTTATTTTGAAATTCAGAGTTACAGAGAGAGAAGGAGAAGGAGGGAGGGAGGGAAGGGGGGAGGAAGGGAAGGAGGGAAGGAGGGAGGGAGTTAGAGAGGAAGAAAGAGAGATCTTCCTTCTGCTGCTTCACTCCCTAGATGGCCACAGCAGCCAGCACTGGGTCAGGCTGAAGCCAGGAGCCAGGAATTCATCTGGGTCTCCCACGTAGGTGTCAGGGGCCCAAATACTTGGGCCGTCTTCTACTGTGTTTTCCAGGCTGTTAGCAGGAAGCTGGATCATAAGCAGAGCAACCAGGACACAAACCAGTGCCCATATGGGATGCCAGCATTGCAGGTGGTGGCTTACCCACTATGCCACGATGCTGGCCCCAGTTACAATCTCTTTTAATGCTCAAATAGTAACATCCTTTGATAGTGGAAACCATTTATATTTATTTATTTTTATTTGAAAGGCAGAGAGGGAGAAGGAGAGAGAGAGAGAGAGAGAGAGAGAGAGAGAGAGAATCTATCTACTGGTTCTCTTCCCAGATATGTACAGCAGCTAAGGCTGGGCCACACTGAAGCCAGGAGCCCAGGCCCAGTTCAGGTCTTCCATGTGGGAGTCAGAGGCCCAACTATTCGTGTCATCACCTGCTGCCTCTCAAGACGTGTATTAGCCAGAAGGCAGAGCCAGACGTGGCATAGCCAGGACTCAGATCCAGGTACTGCGATATGGGAAGTTGGCATTCCAATTGGCATCTCTCCTGCTGGGCCAAATGCCTTCCCTGATATACCTGTGAATTAGTTTCTTTGGCTACCAATAGAATTTGCTCCCTGTTCTTTTGACATGGTTGCAGAAGTCTTTGGTAACTTCCTTGCTCCTTGATAGAAAACATGTTCCAGGCTCATCTTTGTTTCCTGTCCCAGACCAGGAATGAGCTGTTTCTTCAAGGAGTCCTGGTGAGATGGTGTTTACAGACCACAGTCTGGGCACAGAGTGCTTATTTCAACTGGGTTCCCTTTTCTTCTAAATCTCAACATAACTGTAGCGTGAGAGCTGGCATCTATGAGCATGAGACAGAAGCATGTTGTATTGGCTTGAATCCTTAAGATCGCAGATAATTTGAGCTGGTCTTTTGGGAATGCGAAGAAAGGGTATGTGTTCCTTTGTACTCTTTCTTTCCTTGTCCCCAGAAGCATCACCAGTATATTTCTGATGCAGGGTTGTGAATCGTTTGGGCAAGTTTTAGGACGATCTCAACATGGGAGAGATTTGTTCTAATGCCTGGAGTTGTAAGGGCAGTGGTAGGTGTACTGGGGAGATAGTTGGATGGCGTTTATTTGAAGGCAGCGTAAGCGTCACCACAGGCCTGTTACAAATGGACCATGAAGGCAGGGGCACTGTCCCCAGAAGAACCCAGACAGTGGAGTGGAAGTTGCTTCTGGCAACAGGCTAGAGCAGGTGCCGCTCAGGCCTGAGGGAGGAATTGCTTTAGAGGAGAATGTGGCAATGCAGGAGGCTCTGCTGGGCCCTTGGCTTCGCTGTGCAGCGTTCCTGCTCTTTCATCAGAAGAAAATACGGCCACAGCCTCCAAAGGACGTCTGGATGCTTCTGGCCACCAACTGCTTCTCAACCGCACACTGTTGTTCAGCCGTCATGTTTTGATTTTTTTTTTTTTTTTTTTTTGCAGGAAGGCAAAGATAAAATGTTTCTGATAGACAAGTTGATCAAACTACAGGATGCAGAGAAGAGAGCAAACCCCAGCTCACTCGTACTGGAAAGGAGAGAGGTGGAGGTGAGGCCGGGGGCTGCCTTGGGAAGCCGTGGGACCCACGCTTGTTTCCTTGTGACAAGGGCGTCAGGGAGCTAACAGAGACTGAGCTCTTGGGATCACATAAGGACCGCTTTCTCTCCAGGTTGAAGCATTTCTGTGTTTTTTTAAATCGAAAACATTCATCCATCTAACACTTCCCACGCCTGGCCTTGTTCTCAGTGGTGGGATATTGGGAACAAAATCAAGCTGCTCCCCTCATGGGGTTCGCATGCTTGTTTTATGGAATTCAGTAACATGGAAGTGAATCTCACTGGGAAGAGAAGTACCCTGAAACCTCATTGTACTATTTTTTTAAAAGATTTATTACAGAGAGAGAGGAGAGAGAAGGGAGGGAGGGAGGACAGGAGGAAGGCGGAGGAGGGAGGGAGGAGAGAGAGAATCTTCCATCCACTGGTTCATTCCCCAAATGGCCACAATAGTCAGGGCTGGGCCAGGCAGGAGCCAGGAGCTTCATCCAGGTCTCCTACATGAGCGCAGGGGCCCAAGTACTTGGACCATCCTCTGCTGCTTTCCCAGGTCATTAGCAGGATTGGAAATGGAGCAGCTGAGACACGAACCAGTGCCCATATGGGATGCTGACACTGCAGGCAGAGGCTTAGCCTTCTATGCCACGGTGCACTATCAATGCTTTCGTGCGTGGCCTTCCAAGATTTTTCCTCCCAGGCATCTGCAAACATAACCGCACCTACTCACACATTAAATTATTTATGCATGGGGCCGGTGCTGTGGCGTAGAATCTTTTTTAAAAGATTTTATTTATTTGAGAGGTAGAATTACAGACAGAAAGAGGGAGACAGAGAGAGAGGTCTTCCAGCCACTGGTTCACTCCCTAAATGGCTGAAATGGCCAGAGCTGAGCCGATCTGAAGCCAGGAGTCAGGAGCTTCTTCAGAGTCTCCCACATGGGTTCAGGGGCCTAAGCACTTGGGCCATCTTCTACTGCTTTCCCAGGCCACAGCAGAGAGCTGGATTGGAAGAGGAGCAGCTGGGCTAGGAACCATATGGGATACCGACATTGCAGGCAGAGGCTTAGCCCACTATGCCACAGTGCTGGCCCCAATAAATCTTTAAAAAATTATGTATATATTACAAAAACTGGGCTATATTATACAAATAGTATCATAACTCCCCATTCCCTGTTAGTGCAATGTCTGAGATGTTATTTCATTCCTCATAGATTTGGATTGTTCCCAGGTTCTTGCAATATTAATAGCAGTATGTAATGAAATATTAGTGGTATGATTATGTTAGGTGAGTATTTCTGCCACAGGGCACCTGCGAGTACACAAGAATGCTAATAGATACAGTATTGCTGTATCACGCTCCTAAAGAGATTTCACCAGTTTTATTCCTACCAAGAGGGCATAAAGGTGCCTGAAACCCTGCCCTAAGTTGAAAGCCCTTGCTGGCTTCTTTGGTGTCCTGGGAAGCACGGGTAAACAGTCAACGCACCCTAACTCCAATACCACTGGGAGCTGAAAGTTGTGGTCTGACAGAAGAGACTGCCATCGACTTTACTGTCCCTGCAAACGAATAGCACCAGCAGGATTTACGTAAGGCATCTGGAGACCCGCTGCAAATCCTTTGAGGCTGGGGACCATGTCTGTCACCTGGTGTCCTCCACTCCTAATACAAGGGTGTTTCAAAAAGTTCGGGGAAGGTGGGATAAAAAGGAAAGTTTATTTTGGTGCAAAACCTTTGAAATCCCTGTAGATGAAGTGTCTTCAAAGCAGTAGTGCAGAGTGCACATTATGAAAAACTATGTATGGGTTTCAATTTTTTTTGCACTAAGATAAACTTACCTACTTGCATTTTTCCATGAACTTTGTGAGGTAGCCTCATATATGACCCAGCATTCTATAAATGTTCCCGAAATATCAGTGGAAGAAGTGAATGAATGAGAGAATGGAATCATTGTTCCTGGAAAACAAAAATGATTGCTATTTCTATGAATGAGCCTTGGTCTTTTATTTTATTTTATTTTATTTTTACTTATTTGACCGGTAGAATTAGATAGTGAGAGAGAGACAGAGAGAAAGGTCTTCCTTCCATCGGTTCACCCCCAAAATGGCCGCTACAGCCGGCGTTGTGCCAATCTGAAGCCAGGAGCCAGGTGCTTCTTCCTGGTCTCCCAGGGGCCCAAGCACTCGGGCCATCCTCCACTGCCCTCCCGGGCCACAGCAGAGAGCTGGCCTGGAAGAGGAGCAGCCAGGACAGAATCCGGCGCCCATATGGGATGCCGGCGCTGCAAGCAGAGGATTGGCCAAGTGAACCACGGCGCCGGCCCCTGAGCCTTGATCTTAATCTGTCACTCCCCTGCTTTTTTTTTTAGAGACAGAGACATCTACTGGTTCACTCCCCAGAGGCATGCAACAGCCTGGCTGGGAGCTGGGTACTCAGTCCCGGTCTCCCACATTGGGTGGCAGGGACCCAACCGCTTGAGCCATCACCTGCTGCCTCCTAGGGTCTGCGCTGGCCCTGAGTCCGGAATCAACAGCTAGGGCCAGGAATCAAACCCAAGTACTCTCATATGGGATGGGGGCATCTGAACTACTAGTCCAAACCCCTACCCCACAATCCCTTAATTTAAAAATGTGATAGGGAGACCAGCATTTAGCCTGGGGGAAAGCCCCTGCTGAGCCGCCTGCCTCCCACCAGAGCAGCTGGGCCTCCGTCCGCCTTCCAGCTCTGACTTCCTGCAGACCCTGGGAGGGCGTGTGGTTGTTCCAGTGATTCAGAAACCTGAATCCAGTTCCTGGCTCCGGCTTCAGCCCAGCGCAAGCCTGCCCCGGTGGGTGTATGGGTAGTGAGCCAGGGAATGAGAGCTCGCTCTCTGCCTCTCTGCTTCTGGAAAACAACAAAACAGTAGGGTGTTCACAGATCTTCCCAGCTAGGCAGGAAGCCTCAGGCCTTGCAGTCCTTGTGATGCGGCTGCCCGTTCTCTTGTCTTCCAGCAGCAAGGATCTTTGCACTTTGGGGAGCGTCAGTCTACCCCTGGTGAGTAACCCACCTCTCCCCGGACACACCACGGATCTCTCCAGGTGATACTGCCCAGGACCGAGGGTCAGAATCGCTGGTGCATCATTGCTCTGTCCATTGCAAAACCAGTGTGAATTGCATCTGGCAAAAAGCAAGAATAATTCTTGTTTTTTGGCCGTGCCTGAGACAGGAGCTCACGAAGGCACCAGAACCTGGTCCGTTTCTGTTCACTTCTTTCCCGTGTTAGTTCCTTCTGCAAATAGGCTCTTCCTACCCCCTGGGAGGCCGCCTTATCAACTTGTGTCTTCTCAGAGTCACTGTGTAGGGAAAGGGTGGGGTCCCGGAGCCCCTTATTAGTGTTTTCTTGGATCTGCTTGGGGATGTTCCCATCCGTGAGCCAGTCGCTATCACTGTGAGATTTCCCTGGTCAGCTTGGAGTCACTTCCCTCGTCTGCAGACCCCAGGGACTAAGAGTAGGGAAGAGTGGCTTCCCAGAAATACCTGGGGCTGATCCCAGAGGGGAATGAATGCTGGGGAGGAAATGAGCCAGCCCATTGGGCTTTCGGGTGTTGCATTTCCTGCTGGCATCTGATGGTGGGGGTTCAAGGCTGGGGAGAACAGAAATGGCCAAGGAGGAGGCAAGGAAGCTGTGAGAAGTTATGGGATGTTGAAGTCGCTCCCCTGTAGTGCGTGTCCACGTTAACTTCTCTTTCCCGTGTCAAACCCAGACCTGCGATACAGGCGGTCCGTTCAAGAAGACAGTACGAAGGCGTGATGGCTGTTGCGGTAGGCGGATGCCAATCAACAACTTCTTTGTGACACCTGAGCCTGTGGGGGTTTCCCAGAAGGGGAGTCCCAGCCTTTAGCCAGGAGCAGAAACTGACCATGCAGTAAACACCGAGGAAAACTGAGCATTCCCTGTTCTGTTTTACACCTGGATTGCTGAGTTTTCAAAACAAAGTATTTGGAGTTTTCCAATAAAGACTGTTGTACTATACTGAGGCTAGCTTACAAAGACCTTGGACAGAGGTAGTCTGGGAATGATGGATTTTATCTCCGAGAGATGTGTGCGCAAGGGACTGGTCCTTGGGATTCTTGCCTCCCAGATCTGGCAAAGGTTTAGAAACCGGTGCTGAAAAAGATGATTCCATCTCAATAAATATGAGATCTGCAATTGGATTTCATGCAACGTGTGAACTGCGGAACGTGCGTTTGTTTGTGACTTTGAACTAGAACTGTCCCCATGTCACTCAAAGGTCTCCTCTCTCTGCTCTGTGGCATGTGAAGTCATAAGCCTTTGGGGTTGGACTGGGGTGGGGGTGGCGTGGGACTCCGCCCCTCAGAGGGTTTATGCATGGCCATCAGTGCCTTGTGTTGGACCAAATGTGAAACCAGCTGTGATGTGTGGAATAAATGTGTGTGTACATGTGCATGTAATGCATATATGTGTGTATACGTATCGCGTCTCAGCCTTTTGGCTGAGATCAAGTGTGTGTATACGTTTTTTCAAAGGTTTGCCAGGTGATGATTCACAAGGCATCTGGCTATTCTTAAAATGGAAGGGTTTGGGCAGGCGTCTGGTGCAGTGGGCTCAGCTTCCGCTTGGCCTGCCAGCATCCCCCATAAGAGCTGGTTCAAGGGGCCGGTGAAATGGTGTAGTGGGTAAAGCTGCCTTCTGCAGTGCTGTCATCCCATAGGATGCTGGTTCGTGTCCCTGCTGCTCCTCTTCTGTTCCAGCTCTCTGCTATGGCCTGAGAAAGCAGTGGAAGATGGTCCAGGTCCTTGGGCTCCTGCACCCACATGGGAAACCCAGAAGAAGCTCCTGGCTCCTGGCTCCTGGCTTCAGATCAGCCCAGCTCCGACTGTTGCGGCCATCTGCAGAGTGAACTGGTGGATGGAAGATATCTCTCTCTCTCTCTCTCTCTCTCTCTGCTTCTGCTTCTCTGTAACTCTTAAATAAATCTTTAAAAAAAGAAAAACTTAAAAAAAAAAAAGACGCAGTTAAAGCCAGGCTGCTCCGCCTCCGATCTGGCTCCTTGCTAATGTGCCTCCGAAAGCAGTGGAAGATGGCCCAAGCGCTTCAGTCCCTGCACCCACGTGGGAGACCCAGCTGGAGCTTCAGGCTTGTGGTTTCTCCCTGGCCCAACCCCAGCCGTTATAGCCATTTGGGGAGTGAATCAGTGAATACAAGATCTCCCTCCCCTTCTCTCTGTCTCCCTCTTTCACCCCCTCTTTCTCTTTTTTACTTTCCCTTTCAAATAAATAGTAAATCTTTAGAACTGTGGGGTCCAGCAGAATGGTCAATTACCAGTTACTTAAAGGACACTGTCCACTTCAGTAAGCGCTGCTGCGAAGTCTCATTGGAACTGAATTCAGAAAGCATTTAAATGAGTTCAAAACACACTCCACTGGTGCTCGGCGGTCGGTTCAGTTCGTCCTTTACTTACTGATTGTGGTCCTCCTTTATCTGAGGTTTTGATTTTCCGGGCTTCAGTTACCCTCAGTTAACTGCAGTCTAAGGACATTAAATTGAAAACTCCCAACATGAACAGTTGCTAGGTTTAGCATCGTGATGAAGTCCCATGCCACCCCGGCCAGTCTTGCCCATGATGTGAAAGCTCCCCTTGTCCAGTGTCTCCACGCTGTATCTGCTACCTGCTCATGACCCACGTGGCTGCCTCTGTTATCAGAGTTTGTGAGCAAGGCACCCTTGTTTAAGCTTTATAGCAGGCCGGAAGCACAGGAGCAGTGGTGCAAAGGAGACCTCGGGCGTACGTAAGACGTGGAAGGCAGAGGAACTGGGATCTCACTGGCAGTGCTGCAGGGCGTAGAGAAAAATGTAGCACATCTGGGGTTCACTCCTTGGTTTCAGGCATCCACTGAGGGCGCTGGGGTGTCTTCCCTGGAGATAAGAGGTTAGAACTGCTGTATTCATTAATTAACCCCATCAACCTGACTTCTTTTTTAAAGGAAGATCAATTTATTTATTTAAAAGAAAGAGAGATCCATCTTCCGCGTGCAGTTTCACTCCCCCAAAATGGCCTCATTTTGAGCTGGGGCTGGACTAGGTTGAAGCCAGGAGGTTAGGACTCCATCTGGGTCCCCAGCGTGGGTGGCAGTGGTTCAAGCTCTTAGGCCGTTGTCCAGGATCAAAAGCAGGAGCTGGAAGAGAACTGGCACTCCGATACGGGATGCCAGCCTTGCAGGTGGTGGCGTAACCTGCTGTGCCATGACACCAGCCCCTACCTGTCGCTCCCCCTCTTCGTGGAGGAACGACACTAAACCCTGCCTAGGCTTCCTATCCGAGTCACGGCACCATTATGTCGCTCCCCCTCTTCGTGGAGGAACGACACAGGACCCTGCATTGTTCTTTCGTCTGCTCGGCCCTCCCCGGGTTTGCTGCTGGTTCTTCCCGGGTTGGCTACCGACCCTTCCACCTCCGTGGAAGGGCGGTTCCCCCTGCCACTTTCCCCACTTCCGCGGGGGAGCGGCACACCGCCGGCCGGCTCTCTCGGGGGCTGCACAGGTGTTCCTTCAGATAGATGTTCCTGGTGCATGTTGTCTCTCTCCTCCTTTATAGTCCTCTTCCACCAATCCCAACTCTGCTACCCACACGCTGAGTACGCTGCTCTCCTCCAATCAGGAGCAGGTCCTACAGTTTATTGGTTGAACTGGAGGCAGCTGTGTAGAAGCTGTTTCCTCCTCTCCCAGCGCCGTATTGTGGGAGAGCAGATGCATAGAATAAGTCTTAATTCCAGTAACTTAGTCTAGTCCGAGTTGCTCCCAGTTGCTCCCCACACCTACCAACGTGAGTTCTTTTGTTATTATCTTTGCTAGTGGTTGCTAGTAGTGTTCATTCATTCATTCATTCAACGAATACAGGCCAGGTAGGGATGAACGAGTCATGGTGCTGTCTAGCACACTGATTTAGACAGGAACTTCACACTGTGCTTGCGACAGGTGTCTGGAGGAGCAGCCCAGGGCATTGTCCTGGGATCAGTGAAGGAGCCCTTGGCATTGAGGTTTGAAGCGATTCCGCGCCCCGCCCTCTGTCAGCCCAGTACTGCTTGTGCTGATCTGGCTCCCACACTGCAGCACGAGTTCCTCACTCACCGGAAGTGAAATGATTACATCCGGGTGCTCCTTTCACCTCCATCCCTATCTCCTCTTCACCGCAGCCTCTGCTCCTCCTGGATGCATAAATGCGGTAGAAAGATCTAGTCTGCGGGTTGCGTGCATACATGCGGATCAGAGTAGGATGTTTTATCACTTGACCTTGCGATAGGGGATGCATTAGTTTTCTAGGATTGACATAAGGAAGTACCATAGACTAGATGTCTTAAACCAGACATTTTCTATACAGTTAAAAAAATATTTATTTGAAAGGTAGAATGACAGAGAGAGAGAGAGAGAGAGAATGGCCACACTGGCAGGGACTGGGCCAGGCAGAAGCCAGCAGCTGGCACTCCATCTGGATCTCCCACATGGGTGGCAGAGACCCAAGCGCTTGGGCCATCATCTGCTTCTTTCCCAAGTGCCTGCTCAGAGAGCTTCCTGGGAAGGGGAGCAGCCAGGACTTGAACTGGCACCCCGAGATGGGATGCTGGCATCACAGGCAGCGGCTTAACCTGCTGTGCTACGGCTCTGAGCTCCCTCTCCTACAGTGTTAAGGGCTGGAAGTCCAAGGTTAAGGTGTCAGCAGGGCCGTTTGTTCTGAGGCCTCTCGCTGTGGCCTTCCTGTGTATTCGTGCACCCCTGATGTCCCTTCATGTCAGATACCCTCCTCTTAGAAGACACTGGTCAGGTTGGACTGGGGACTCCCTGATGTAATTGTGTGCTTATAAAAACTATCTCCAAGTATAGCTCCATCCTGAAATACTAGGGGTTAGGGCTTCAGCATAGGGATTTTGCAGTAGACAACTCTGTCCGCGCCAGGGGGAGGATGGTGCCGGCCAGCCCTGCCCAAGCCCTGCAGAACCTGTTAGGCAGCAGAGCGTTCAGAATCACGCAGGGAGCTGTGCGTGTCAGCTTGTAGTTACTATAATAAAACACCTGACCTGGGCTGCTTCGGAAGAAACAGAGGCTCATCGTGGGGAGGCCGAGAACCCAAGTGGTTAGATGCAGGCTCCGGCGAGGGCCCCACAGCAGATGGTGGGAGCCTGTGCAGGAGCAGGTGATCATGTCGAGAACTAGAGGGCAGAGAGCTGTGTGGGCCAGGCCTGGTCCTTCTATAAGCCTCTCCCAAGAGCTACTTTTTGGTTGTTGTTTTTAAAGATTTTATTTATTTATTTGAGAGGCAGAGCTACAGACAGAGAGGGAGAGAGAGAGAGAAAGGTCTTTCATCTGCTGGTTCACTCCCCAGGCCTCTCCGAAGCCAGGAGCCAGGAGCTTCTTCCAGGTCTCCCATGTGAGTGCAGGGGCCCAAGCACTTGGGCCATCCTCCACTGCCCTCCCGGGCCACAGCAGAGAGCTGGAATGGAAGAGGAGCAGCCGGGACTAGAACCAGCGTCCATATGGGATGCTGGCGCTGCAGGCGAGGGCTTAGTCTGCTATGCCACAGCACCAGGCCCAAAACAACACCTCTCTAGGACTTCTTCAGGATCTGCCCCTTCAGTGGCCACGGTGAATGGGCCAGTTCATTCTTTATGAGGCAAGGAGACGGCGATTTGGGGTGATGTTCAATTACAAAAGGAACAACTAAAAATAGCACAGGACTTGCGTAGGTTGTCCTAAGTTTGAAGTGAGGACAGTGGATAAGAGTTAAGCTCACCAATAGAGCGTGCCTTCAGAATGGTAGCATGTAACAGTTCCTCCCTAAATTCTCCAAGTTAGAACTTTTCCACAGCACTGACCTCTGATCAACCTTGAGATAGCACCCAGAGGGAGGCGCTCACGCGTGGAGCAGGGCCCCAGGCTTGGCTCCGGGTGCACCTGTAGAGGGCTCACGCCTAAGCCCTGAGCAGTGCTCCTGTCCCTCCCCTCCCAGTGGTTTTCCAGCCCAAGTCACCTGCAGATCGGACAGAAGGCAGACTGCCACTTGTGGGGTCGGAAACGGGACGGAGAGTGCATTTCTCACAAGTGCCATGGAACTGAGGACCGCTGGGCAGTGTGGTTTGCAGACGACGCCACAGTTCTTCCTTATTTTGTCATTGAAACAGTGGTGTTACACTGTTAACGTG